AATTCTTATAATTGAAAAGAACTATATAAAATAACTGAGATGATACAAAAGACGGGAGAAAAGGAGTATTAATTTACATTAATGTGTCTATTTTTCTAGGCGAGGACTATACCAGAAATGTTGATGAAAAGTTTATTATTATTTCATATAAATAACTGATTGATACCATTTTTATTGTTAACACTTTTTCTTATTGTCAGTAAGTTATAAATACAAACAATAATATATATATATATATATTGTATGCTTCTCATCACTTTCTCAATTTTAAAATCCAGAAACTAGCCAAATTACTTTATTAGAAACAAAATTCATAAGCATTATTTTTACCACCTTCTGTTTAAATACAATTTTCAACAAGGTCTTAATCATTATCTACATTTATAGTTTATCATTGTTACAGAGATCATCTTCATCTATTTTATTATGAGGGCAGTAAGAATGAAAGATTGCACATTTCTCCTACATCAATAAACATGCACATTTGAAATAAAGACAATCATAGAATATTCTATTTTCATATTTCAGTTGTATTTGTAAATTATAAAAATAAAACGAAGCTGATTGAAGATGAAATTATTTACAAAAACTAATTGTCTTAGATTCTTTTTTGTACGATTTATTATCTATGTGCAAAACTGATCGAAACATGATTAAAAAAAATATTTATTGACCTTAATATTTTATTAAAATCATTTCGTCTTCAAGACAGAAGATTATGAAATAATCATGTACAATGGAGAAATTTTCTACTTTTTTACATTGACTCTTAGATTTTTCTCAAGAAAAGTGAGCAACATCATTCATAATTACTTTAGATACGATCTTACGTAGATATTATTTCATCTGATTTTTTTCTGTTTAGGTCGTCTCAGTATAATGCTAAAACAATCATATTTACTCTTGATTTTGCAATTATTTGCATGTTTTTCAATCAAAACTAAACCAAAATTTAAATTTCGATAAAGTTTTTTGATTATACTACGTTTTCATCATTGAAACTTACTTCAATCGATCAATAATTTTTACATATTCAAACAAGACATCTACATTGGAATACTAGTTCTTATGAATATATTCTATGGCTCTATGATATGGGTGTGAGTGTAGATACAATTGAGAACAGCGATGATACCCACACCCCAACTTACCAGCATCCATAGTTGTTGTACGCAAGAGGATTTCTACACGTATAGTGTGCGATGAATTGAGCAAAGCCGATGATTAGTCGGGGCTGTGCCTTTTTTTTAGCTCGTGAGAATTTCCATCGTTCCTATTACTAGTGGAAAGAAGAAACAAATTATGCGAATTATCGTTGCCATTGACCTTATATATACTCGTAAAAGGCAATATATTCGCTCAAAAAATTCATTTATTTTTGCCTCCAAAATTTCATATACACACATACGAGTAACTGCCACTTACTTATAACGCACTTCGATCTATAAAGATATTGCGCAAAAGATTATAGGATTACGAGACTTAACAGTGATGACTAGGATAGAATGCAAGTCAATGATGAAAGAAAAGAAATCGTCTAACGGGTGGGGAGACTGAATGACTGCGTTTTCCATTTCATTGTCTTCTTATTAAATATGCTTTATTAGGAAAACCAAAATAAATCAAAAGGTGAAGCGTGAAAAGCTCTGCCATATACAAAGTAAAACTTATTTTGATCATGTGCTTTTCTTTAAAAAAAAACGAAATTCTGAGGGTGACATTGGGCGTCAGTATGAAAATTACCTATGGCAATCATGACTTCAATCTTGATAGAGACTTAGTCAAGTGGTATAGTAGTTTGTGAAGGTTAGCTGAAATGCACTATTCAGTTTTTCTCTGCACAGTCTTGATGAAAAAAAAACTCCTTGAAGTGAGAAAGTTATTTATCAAATTTCATTAAATAAATAGCATCAAAGTGCAGACGAAAGTATTCTCTATTCGTATCAGTTAATATTTAACACCTTAATATCCAATCCAATTATCGACTTTGTAACACGATATTAATTCATTTCTTCGAAGTAATTGGACTTTGACGTCATTCATATTTTCGTAGTAAAGCGTGCTATTTCGGAAGAATCATATAGTCAAATATAGACTTTTCTTTGAGAATATATATTTTCCATCGTTTGTGAGGATGTCGCCATCAAAAACGATCGTTATAAAAAGAAGTGCCTTATGGAGAAATACTTAGTGTATACCAAAAGCAGTGGTGTCGATTCTGTAATGTTTTACAGACACATTTGGGAAATTTTTCACTCTATATCCTGATAGTCCAAATCAAGCTCTATAATTCTATGATATGTCATAAATCTTCAAACAATATTATCTAAGTAAAATTTTGATACTCTCAAGTTTTTTACAGCTTTTATGAATTTTTCCTTAGAAAATATGAAAAAACTAGCTATACGCATAGAAAAAACAAACAGAACACGTGTGTTTACACATGTGTATAAATGAAGGTAAACATTAAAGAAGTTAAAAAGACTGAGAAAAGAAAGAGAAGAGAGGAGAAGGTTAGAAGGAAAAAAAGAAAAGGATAGAAATATTACATTGAAGACAAATACCATATTGTGGGTGTGCGTGTGGCTATGAGTTCAGAGGAGAGTTAGTTTCATAACCGAATCCACCTACACTCACACCCACACCCTTGTTGTTCATTGTTATAGTTCGATGCTTCCTAAAATCGAGCTGTAAGGTTAATTTATAATTTAACAGTCCCTCGATGAAATAAATCGTGCTTCTTTGTCGTAAAAGATAAGATGATAATAAGATTTAATAATTGGATTACGTCTGAATATAAAAGCATTATAGGAAAACTATTACTGAAAACTGAATATATCCTCTTCAAAACTAACCAAAGGTTTTATGAACAAAAATTTACTAGTTTTGTGTTTATGAATGAATTCTTTCGTCGTGAGGTAAAATTCAGTTTGTTCTCTACACTTAGAAAAGATGAGCTTATTTTGTTGAAGATTAGAATGTGAGCTTGGATGAAGTGAAGAAACAGATCCACACACACACACTAAAAGAACAGATGATGCATGTAGGTTCCACACGCATTATCTGGTCTTTTAGGATTTGCTTTTGAAGCATTCAAAATAAAATATGGGTGAATTTATGCCGACTTTTTCTAAGAAAACAAAAATTGTGTACAAATTAAAAACAGTTAAGCTTGAAAGACTCATGTCTAACGTCAAGCATTGATTTCATGATTTTGATAGAGAGAATATCATTGTGAATAGATTGAATCTTTATTTGAACTTCTCATATGATGAATCGTAACGATTACATGCAGAGAAGATACCAAGAAAGAAACAGGGATTTATGATTGCCTGGTTTAATAATAAAATTTTCACTAATTTAACCTAATTATTTCTCCTTGTTCTAGACACATTTATCAGACTTAAATGTTGTTGAACAAGATAAAAAAAATCAAAGCAAATAGAAAAATAGATTTGTGGTTCAGGAAAATGAATTTCTTCAGCACATGAAATTCACACGTAGACGATAGAAATCCTTCTAAAGTTTTCCATTGTTTTCTAGAGCAACGGCTTTTCAACACTGAAATTACTTGGTATTTCAATTGGTTTGATTGGATTCTGTTTATCATCATCATTTCGTTGTTCATCAATTGCTCCACTGTTGCGCAACACTTTCTCATATCGAATCAATTGCAAAAGAAAACCAGAATTTGGTGAAGATTGAGGACGCCGATCGAGTAAATACTTGTAAGCTTTTATTAAAGTATCATGATGGTATCTATAATGAAATATTCGACAGATTTTGAATACAAACGTAAAACTCACTTCATTAGATAGGCGAGTACAATGGAGGATGATCGAGAAATACCCATTTGACAGTGTACCAACACTTTCTCCCTCTGCTGCTTGCACGAAAATAAGAAGTCATTCGTTTGTTGAAAATATTGATTGATATCAGCACGAAGATCATCGTCTATACTAATCCATAGCACATTGAAATTCTGTGTGATTTCTGTTTTCAACGACTCATCGCACGTATTAACAATATGACGAATGCCAAGTTTTATAAGCAGGCTCACATTGCTTGCATGGCCTATATCGCCATGGTAGAGAAAGTCGTCAATCACCACTGATGGATTCTCATCATCAAGGGTGTGGGTGTGGGTGTGGGTGGGTGTGGGGTGTGGGTGTGAGTGGGTGTGGGTTTGGGTGTGGGGTGTGGGTGTGGGTGGGTGTGGGTGTGGGTGTGGGTGTTAGGTTTAAGTGATGCACTCCCACACTGATATTCACACCCACACCCACATCCACAGCCACACCAACAGCCACACCCACACCCACACCCACACCCACATCCACAGCCACACCAACAGCCACACCCACACCCACACCCACATCCACAGCCACACCAACAGCCACAGCCACACCCACACCCATACCCACACCCACACCCACACCCACACCCACACACCCACACCCACACCCACAACCCACACCC